GCAAGCTGGCTGGGATGGCTCTGAACTGAGAGAGCAACATATCCTAAGGCCAACAATCCGAGGGGGAGTTTGTTGGTGCAACCCTACGGTTTGCACTCGGCTTGTTGTCCGTGTGCGTGAATGTGTGTGTGTATGGAATGGTATGAGGGCATGGGATAATATATATTTCATGCTTATAATTGTGTGTGAATGTTGAGTCATGATGTCGAGTGTGTGTGTCGAGTCAATAGCGAGTTATCGCTAGACGCGTGTTACGCGGTCGTTTGTGTCTCGCGCGCGGTTTCTATTTTGTCGTGCGCGGTTTCTATTTTGTCCTGTGTCGAACGTTCGGCGTGTCGCAGGTGTGTGCAGCAGACCCATCAAGAACTCAAGGATGAGTTTGTGATGAAGAGCCCGAGCCTTGGTGTCAAGCCTCAAGTGATTTCGAAGCTTGCCAAAAGGGTACACCTCAAGATATTGAAGATAGTTACATTACTTTGTGTAGTGTAACATTTCACTTGGTGTAGGCCCTAGTGAAGGGTAGTTTCGAGACCCTTCGTGGTTGGGGACAGTGTGGCACTGTTCCACATCACTGTACCTCGGCTCTTGGGGTTTGTAGGAGCTGGGAGTCATTCCCAACTCGTAACTCTTCCTATCTTGTGTTCTAAGACTATAGTGGCTGCCATAGTACCGTTCGTTCAAACTGACGCTGTGTCGTCAATTCTTTATCAAATCGTGCAATCTAAATTGCTAATTGTAGACGACGTGAAGACACTCCAGATCCAATTTGAATCAAGTCATTTGCAGCTATGAGCAGAACGCTATCAACGTTTGAAGCCGCTGTGCAGAAATCCGTCTGTGCTCTCTATCTTTCGTTTTAGGCACATTCAAGCCTATTGTGACTATAACATACACCAGGATGTCGTCCAGGTAAACAATAACTTTTTTTTTTTTCCAGCATGTCCCGAAACACCCCATTCATGGTGAGCTGGAAGGTCGAGGGTGCGTTCGTCAAACCGAATGGCATCACAGTATATTCGTAACTGCCATAGCGGATGCGAAATGCAGTCTTCGGGCAGTCATCGGCGAACACGCGAATTTGATGGTAGCCACCTCACAAATCGATTTTCGAGAAGAAGCAAGCCCCGTGAAGCTGGTCCAGTAGGTCGTCCGCTCGTGGAATCGGGTAACGCGACTTGATTGTGACCCGATTCAACGCTCGATAGTCGATGCACATGCGCAGGCCTCCGTCCTTCTTCTGTGTGAACAGTAGGTGACGTGCTCGGCCGGATAAAACCCTTCGAGAGCAGATAATCCAGCTGTTTCCGCAACTCATCGAGCTCCGGTTGGCTGAGCTGCCACTGTGACCGAACAGTTGGTTTCGCGGCTCCAGCTCGATCCTGTGGTCTTCTGGTCGCTGAGGTGGCAGCCTGTCAGGCAGGTCATCCGCGAAAATTTTGGGATACCTCCGAATTATGCTCGCCACGTCGTCTGGTACAGCAGCACAGAGCGTGTCAATGTCGGCGATTTTTTCGGACGCCACCACCTCGTACAGCTGTACGGCGTAGCCCTGCGCTCCTCGTTTGATCGCCCTTTTCATCGTTATTGCGTTGACACGTGTTGTCATCGGCTCCGGCTCCGCCCATTTCGGAAGGGTCACGTGCCCCTTGTTGCACAGCACCGTGATCGCCCCCGTCGTCCAGTCAATCGTCGGATTAAAACGCTGCAGCCAATCTCGTCCCAGCAGCACATCGCAACCGTCTAGCGTCGTCGCCAGCATGCGCATTGAAAATCCGAAATCGTCGCCACACTTCATCCGAATTTGTCGGACCTCGTCCTTGATCACCAGCGGTGTCCCGTCCACCAGTCGCGCGTCAATTTCGGGCAGACACCTGTCCAGCTTGACTTCGATTTTTTTGGCCATTGCCAGGTTGACGAGACTGTGGCTCGCCCCTCCGTCAACGAAAAGTTTTATTTTTTGTCCGTTAACCCTCCCCACGACCAGCACAGGGTGATCCACGTGTTCATCCACCTTATTCGTCCGGTTGCGGTCGATAGCCCGTATCGGTACCACTACTCGGTGTGGATGTTGATTGCCGGGCGACGGGGTCTCGTCAGTAGGTGGCCCGACTACTACTGACTCGTCTCTTTTCCCGACCCCTCTCCGTCGTTCCTGTTTCCCTGTTTCAGCTTCGGGCAGTCCTTCCTCCAATGGCCCGGTTGGTTGCAGTTGAAGCACGTGTTGGGTCCACGTCTCGGTGCATCCACCCCGTTGATTGTGGGCTGGCGCGGCGGTCCACGAAATTGAGTGCCCTCATGGGAACTCATTCTCGCCCATTGCATCAGCGCATCCGTTGATTCAGCCACCTGGACGGCATCAAGGAAATCGCATGGCCTCGCTCGTCGCACCTCGTACTGTACTTCATACTTGAGGCCTGCGACGTATCGGTCGAGTCGCTCCGCATCACTCATGTCGTCCATCTGGTCGGCCAAATTGCAGAATGTTGCCGTGTAATCTTGGACCGACGCCACCTGCTTCCAGGTGCGCAGCTTCATGCGAGCAGAATCCGAGGCGGATACATGCTCGAATCTGGCTCGCAGCGCGGCGCCCCACTCCGTCCATGTGCGTATCATGGCCACTCCGAAGATTGAAGTTGCTCGTTGCGTGACAGTTGTCCAGGTCCCGTCGTTCGCACGTGGCATCCCTGCTGGAGTCCCCTCTGTCTGAAGAGTCCGCTTCCACCACTCCAACGCCGGCCCTCGTAACAGTGACACTGCAAAATTAATGCGAGTAGCATCGTCAGCAATTTGCGCAGCATTGAAAAACACCTCCACGCCAAACAACCATGCTGACACAGTGACGGTTTTGTCGCTGGGGTTGAACGGGGGCGGGTTCGTCGGTTTTAACTTAACAGTTTTTGAGACTGTTGCTGCTGCATGCATCGGGGGCGCCACCGAAGCCATCACCGGGGTTGTCGCTGTTGCCTGTCATGGCGTAGTCTGCGACTGTTGCCTCGGTGCCGCTTGTGCCTGTTGCTGCGGCTGTGGCTGTTGCTCTTGCGTCCCTTGTGCTTGTTGCATCCGTGCCGCCCACTCATCTTCAGCGTCCAGCGAGTCCTGTAGCTCGCTAAGGACCTCGTCGTTAGGCGCGAAGCTACTACTTGCTTCATCTACGGCGGGCGACTCCCGACGCGCTTCACCTCGCGTCTGGCGTAGCTCGGCGTTTTCCACCCTCAGGCGATCCATCTCTGCAGAAATGGTCTGCAAGTTGGCTTGCATCGCCCGAAACTGTTGCATGAACTCGTTGAACTCCACCTGTTCCATGTTTCGCAGGCTTCTCCTAACGGGCAGTGGGTTAACAACGATTTTTATGGTTTTGATGAAGGCGCAAACGCTATTAGTTGGAGCGAGATAATCATATCTATCTCTCAGCTGACCGCTTTGCAGCCCACCAAACCTATCTCACCCTTGCACTAAACTACCCCGGAAAGTGGAGGGTAACCTAGGAAAGTAGCTCTGATACCAAGTGTTATGAGTTGTACGAAAGAAGAGTGCGCAGCGTTCAATAATGCGGAAGTGATTACAACTACTGAGCAAACAACGAGGCCTAGGCATAATATAGCAAAGCTAGCTAGGCCGAGGTCGCGGAGTCGCGAGAAGGTTGGGTGCAGGTTTGGGGTTGGGAAACCCGAAGGTGACGCGGAGGACGTTCGGAAGGCGAGGTCGACGGACCGAGCCTGAACTCCGAAAATTGGAAATGTACGCGTACGGAGTGCCTTAGTAAGGAATTAGCAAAATTCCTTACACCTGCAATGCACCACGTGACTTCAAAAACGCGAGCAGACTTGCCAGGATTCAGAAGCACTACTTACGTGACTGTAATTCGGGTTTCCTAATCACACAGAGTTCCATTCTGAAGACTCCGCCAGTTCCCGACGCGTCTTTCCACCGCGCGCAATCTACGGGCTATTATGGAAACGCCATGCCTTTTGATCGGCTTCGTGCTTCGTCGCACGATGGCGCGAGCACTCATTTCTCGCCTACACAGCCTCACGTCTCTTCGCGAACATCTCGGACGCCAGCATTAGCTATCATATTTTCGAACGGTTCGCCATCCACCGATTCGTCGCGCGCAGCAGACTCGCCAGATACGCCTTCCCGCCGCCAATGCGGATGCGTCTAGTAACGCGGAGGCATGTAACGAGGACGACGATATGAGCGGGTACGGCGTGTCGTCGTCGGAGGATCTGCGCAACGCGAAGGCGTGTCGCGCACGGGATAACAAAACAGGTGGTGCGCCAAGGGGATGAGCCGCGGGGAATATAGGCGGGGGACGACGCCAGGTTGAATGGGGGGGTGGGGGGGAACACGCCATCGCGGAAAAGGCTTTGGCCCAAATTCGAGTTTAAGGCCGGAAGCTGCAGGAAAGTTGCCGGAAAGTTGCAGAAAAGTATGCGGAAAAAGCGACATAAAAATGCAACTCGAGCACGGATGTGCAAGGGAGCCGAACCCCGAGTCGCGCTTGCCAGTGAAGTACACCACGCGAGTTGGGTGTCCGAAAATGACATTGCCGAAATGGAAATGTGGACATTTGAGATGCGGCTCGTAAAAAACGTGCACTCAAGCCACGGTTATGGTGTTCACCCGTTACACTGCAGTGGGCATTGACTACACCAAACACACAGTTCCGAAGCACTAGTTCTACGCTCAATGCACCTAAGTCCCACAACATATTCAGATGTGTAGCTGGGACACGTGACGGTTTAGGCAGGGCTTGCGCCAATAAACACAAGCCGCACAACCATTGTTAATAGCCACTGATACACAAGCAAGCACCCCAACATGCTGCCTAACAATGCAACCCCAGACACACACTAGGCGCGATGTCCCAAACCCCGATTCCCACTAACCACACACCCATTGAAAACAATGCAGAATATCCACTAAAACACGCACTACACGACTCGAACAACACTCTCTTTGTCGTCGTCCAGTGGAAACAATACGCCAGCCCTCTGTGCTCATGGCTCCACCTCCGACCCGTCCGAGGTTATTCCCTCATCGCTTGTACTGCCTGCACGTGTGCGCTTAGGTGGTGTGCGGCGAAGGCGGCTCACCACCTCTTCATTGACAACTCCGACCTCCTCCGGAACGTCGCGCGGATGGATTCCCAAGACCTCCGCCTGTTTAACGAAGCCGCCGTGCACCATGCGCACCACGCGGCGGCAGCTGCGGCTGTCTCGCATGAGGGGCCCCTCTGGGATGCAGAAGTATGCCGGTATCTCCTCCTCAGAATCGGTGTCCTCACCCCCCGCAGGCTTCCACTTCTCGATGAGGTCTTCGTCGCATCCCACAAAATCCCATGCTGTCATGTAGAGTCCGCTGCTGCACTTGCTCTTAAACTCCTCGATGACCAGCTGCAGCGTTGTCAACTCCACCACCATGCAGTCGAACAACGCAGCCGCCGCCCTCCCTTTCAGTCGATCCATACGCCCCATCCATCCATTCGGCACACAACCGGCCCGCCACCAGCTCCGCTGAATCGAGCCTGGCATGGTCAATCTGCCCGCCATGAACAGCTTGTACAGGACATCGTAAAGCGGAGGGCGCTGAAACACCCCCTTGTTTATCCACTCGGGGCTCTCGACCGCGCCGCGCAGGAACCACGTGCGGAACACAGCCTTCAACGTGTCGACCACACCAGTGAACGCCGAAAAGGCGCACGCCGGCACCACACCTAACGTCTGCACCACCCGCACCCTTGTTAGCTCTTCCACGACGAACCCCTCCACAACGCTGGTCCTTTTCACACACCCGATGAGGACATGTTTAGGGTTGTGAACGAGCACCACTGCCTTGTCGTTCTGCGCGTGCATCTCACCGTTGAACTCATCGACGAACTCCGTGAACAACTGCGCACATCATGAAATTACAGTGCGTGCATGAACATGACCCATGTCAATGGCATACAGTTGATTGCGCCACCAAGTATGCGTGCAGCTATTTGCCTGGCACTGATGTTACAACACTCACCTCGCCCGACATGCGCCCATGCTTTGCGTAACGGACTTGTACGGCATGATTCTTCTTTCCCCCCTCGTGTATGGCCCTCTTGTCATCCCGTCGGAAAACCACGAGTGGCGGCTTGCGGACACATCCTGTCGCGTTGTAAAAAAAGCATACAGGAAGGTGCCACTCGCGCGACAGCCGCTCACGGTCGTCCTGCGACGCGGCCAACGGGACCCTTGTTGGGATAAGAGGGAACTCGGTAAAGGTGAACACTTTCTCGGGCGGGGCATTGAGCGTCTCCAGCAGCGTTACAAGAGATGCCATGTCGAGAGTATGCAGACACTGTGACAACGCAACAATCCATACCCTCCACCCTTTAACACCCTCTAGTGCCAAACACGCAGCGGATGTGACCTCCTCTTGTGCCCACCAATGCGCCACCTCAGCGTCCCATCGGAAACCCGTACCCTGGATGCAATCGCCACACCAACCTACACCGACAGTATCCACCAATAGTGGGAAACTGCTGACCAATGGTTGCATACCTTTAGGATTGCATCCACTCCTCAACCGAACACTTCCTCCAACCACCTGATCTCGAACCCGCAATGTACCTGCGCCTCAGAACACAACATTCGGTCCCCTGGCGGTAAACGCAGCTCGAGGAATGTCAACCATCAGGAGATCGCGATACAGCATGCTCCACAAGTATGCGAAACCATCAATAACAATTCCCCGCAAATCCACTCTCACTAACGTAAAGGCACACAATTAAATTATCAGAACCCCCGCCCCCCAGAGTCTCCAATACAGTATACTCAGGGTCAAAAGCGTGCGCATTCCATGGCAAGTCACTCATGCCTCGCAGAGCCAAGGTATCGACTGTGCTCATATGTCACCTGTGAGTTTAGTATACAACCTAGGCAACCAGTACTTGTCTGTGACATGGCCAACCCACACATACATCCACAGCCTATATTGTTTCCACTTCTTGATATCCACATCTGCCCTCCCACATCCCTCACACTCATCCCTCAGTGGCTCTTCAACCGCCAGCCCACATTTCACTCGCACAACAAGAACTTGTTGAGTAGCAACACCAGTGGGTTGCTAAAAGAGCGGCAGATGTGCACTATCCGCTCGATGCTCTCCAGTGCAACCACCGCATGCCTGATCTCCTTCCGGGACGGTGTGAGCTACACGCAGGTGGTGAGTGGGCATACCCCCACCTGTTCATACCACCGCATGTACACAAACCCCCTCCGTTCCCCGTCAGCCGTGGCCGCCTTGAAAATACAGAGCGCCTTGGCGTACCACTCTTCCTTCTTCTTGTTCGACTTCACAGCAATGTCCGTGAACCATTTCTCCTTGGGGCTTGCCTTGATGAACGCGCCCTTGGAGACCAGTGCCCCACCCTTCGTGCGTGGAATCGCCACAGCCGTGTGGGCCTGCAGTAGTGGGGCAAGGGAAGACGAGGGCTCGCGTTTGATCAGTAGGGTTCGGCAAAAAGCAACCGTCCCCCGCATTACACGACATCGCGGGCCCCCCACACATGCGGTGGCCCCGGGCTGCACATCACGCACCACAATCTCTGATGCCGTGATGTTCGCAGCCACCATGCACCCTGGCAGCGAGTCCATGAGATCTCCCAGCGCGGTACGGTAGGTGGCCATCACAGCGTCGCCCTCCACCTCTGGCCGCATCGTGCGGCCCTTCCTCGTTAGCACGGGCTTCATGGTCTCAACCGCCTGCCGTGGTGGGCAGGCAACCGTATACCACGACTACGATTGAGAAAATCACCAAGAGTAGGACGGGTCAGGTCGGGGCATGTTAACGTCGAAGAACAGCAACACTGTTTCCCCCCACACACTGGCTCACCTCCCTCAGAGCGGTCGCATACTGACGCCCACCACCCGCGTCTTGTGCCACCTCCCTGCAGATCTCTCTCTGCACCTCCTCCTCGACGATCCGCCGGGGGATGTCCTTCCAGTTGCTGCCCCTGACCGGTATCTTGATTGTCCCCTTGTGGGTATGCTCCCACATCTCCGTGCTGTAGTGGTGCGGCATCCCGCGCATGATCGCATTGTCCAGCAAGTGGACAATCATGTGAATCTTGGGAAATCGCCAATGCGAGGCGTGGTCCGGATAGGCCTGCGGCAAAATCTCCACCAGCATGCAGAACACCACATCGCAAGTGGAATCTGGTGACTCTGTGCATGCCATGACCAGAGACTGCAACGACAGCCTAGCGATGCATTCAAGGCCGCCCACAACCCCCACACCGTCACCCGCCATCCGACATACTTGATTGCATGGGCACGGGCGATTGCGAGAGAGGCCTCCGTGTGTCAGCTGACCCCCAGAAATGCCTTGTAGAACGTGGCATACACCCTGAAAGCCCGCACGCGGAGCGCGCTGTAGCGCTGACTTGTCGACCACTAGGATGGGCATCACCTGCATCATGCTGCGGTGTTCGAAGGCTGCATAGTTTGCACCACTCAAGAAGTAGGAGCTGCCTCCAGGCAGGCGCAAAAGTACATTCGGTGTCTCTCCTTTGGTTGTCTTCTTGCGCCTGTTGGGTTAGTGTGCCCGGGGATAGGCACAGAGACGAGGGTGAGTAAAGAACCGTTCACCAAGACACCGCCAATGCATTCACCATACAGTGTTTCCATTGCATACTCTATTCAGTGAACCGGAGCTACTCACCTCTCAACATCCCGCCTCCCTGGCTTGCTGAGAACCGCGATGTTGTTCTCCAGCAGGTGCAGTGCCATCCCCGAATCCAGCACATGCATGATGTCAGCAACGCATGCACCAAACGGGTTTCCCCACGTCGTGTGCGAGAAGTTCCACCGCGACAACACGCACTGCATGGTGGGGTCGCAAGTTTGTGAGGGGCTCAAGTTTTACGGTGCAGCCTAGGCAATTGTGAGACCCGCGACCAGCCCAAACACCACTAGACCCATACCTCCGCGGGATGAGTTGACCACTCGGTCTGTATCGCTTCCACCTCTTTCACAGTCTTGCACGCAAGCATGTTGCGCAGCACATGCATCTCGGAGTCCACTGTCCGCGGCGTGTCCGTATGCTCCATGTCTCGAAGGAGCTCGTCCGGAACGTAGCATGTGCAGCACGGCCGCTTTGTGCCTGTTTGCAGCGTCGCAGTGACTCTGCATTGTTCGATGAAGTCGCCAGGGTATCCAAAGAAGCATGGCATGGCCTTAACCGGCTCACCCTTCACGTCCGTGACATAGAAGACTCTCATAGGAGCACTGCATGGGCCGATGTAAAGAACACGGGAAACGACACAATCTTTTACAACCGGAACATCCATATAACCTAACCACATGCATGGTATTTGCAGCATTATTGGCAGACACACATACGTGGAGGACTCCCGCATGAGTGGCGCCAGGATGATCCAAATCACCTCCTGAAACACTCTGGCCTTCTCGGTAGATGTTGCCCACTCGGGGGGGAAAGGCAGCACAGCAGCCAGTGCGTGGCCAGGTTCCGTCTTCCGCAGCTCTTCCGATAAGTTGACCAGCGTTATGAGGACGGGCCATGCCTGGCGGCGCCCATTTCGCGTGGCGTTGGTGCCGTTACTGTAAGCAATGACGCCAAGCACCCAGGCTGATGGGTCGTTCACGTCCTTCTGCCACACATGAGCTCGTGCTTTTGAGTGCATATGGAGACACGTCAGCCCACCCGAGCACGGCCGTATGTGTAGCTTCCCGTACCTGAGCCTCTTCAAGCCATTTCGCTGTGTCAGGGTCGGTGTAAATCCGCTCGTTGGTTTTGGGGTCCACATCTGTCCGCGGTTTTGTAACGAACCCTTTAACTCCCGCAAAGATGCGCACGATCTTCTTACTAGCTGGAAAGGCACCAGGCGACATTAGATCACGTGGAATGCGAGTATCTCCGTGCTCCCAACAATCCCTACACTGGGAAGGCACATGACGATATGGACGTACCTCCTCCGTGTTCCTGTAGTGCAGAGGGAGCTTCTGAGTTTGACCGCGCGGCCCTCTGACCACTATCTCCTCGCACAACCACGGGACCATGTCCGGAGGCGCCCTTGCTTCCCCCCATCGTCTCACGTCCAGCCAATTGCACCAGCGCCGCAATGCACGCAGGTTGAATCTCGGATTTCTGAAGATATGCAACAAGCGGTTGACTTCGCGTCGCGAGAGGTCCGAGTCTATGATGAAGAGGTATATCGCAGTGAGGGTGTCAAAAATCTTTCCGTCGAAACTTTTCTCGCTACATGTAGAGTGATCGTCATCATCGCTATGCTCTACCTCGGCAGCTGTCGGAGCAGCAGTTCTCTTCTCCGATGACCTCTCACTGGTGCCGCCACTGGCGGTGGTACCCGCGGGTGTACGGGGAGGGATGCGCAAGAATGCCAGACGGGCCTCCAGATATGCCTCTGTGAGGAGGACTTTCCCCCGTCCTAGAATCTTCTCTCGGCATGCCTCGCTACTAGCCAAGTGCGACTGCAGCCTGTTGTCGTCACGGAACGTTTTTCTGCATCCCCCGCACTCGTTGCCACCCATGATACCATCGCAAACCCTAAAATTGCCGTCCTCAAACTTAGTATACAGTTCGGTGCGGCAGAAAAGGCCCTCACAGTGTTCTCGGTATAAACGCACGCTTTGTTGGAAGTAGTCAGTCTCAATTGCATAAGCGAGCATTGAAATGCAATTACCGAGTGCACAAATTCGGACTGATCGGATGTTCTTATAGGCGCCTGAGTAAGTCGCGTATTCGACCTATGAAACCCGTGAACACATTCGAGAGTAACAAAATGCTCACTGCGACAAGCGACCAACATCATACCGAGTACACTTTGGGCGTGCCACTGTGATCTGCATGTCATGGTGACGCGCCAAGTGTCACGCTCCTAGGTTTGCGCGCCAAAAGTCGTTCAGATCCATACATCTTTTCCGAGGCCGAGGCTTTCCTGCGCATCCCAAAAGTGGCCCAATGCCTTTGTTCACGCTTGGTCCTATTTTTCATAAGTTGGACACCACAGCATACTCACTCATTCCCGTCACGTAGCTTTCCATTAGCACAGGCCTCCCGATCAGACATGTCCTCTCTTGGGCGAGCCCACGACAAGCAGTGTGCTACGAAGGGCAGATCCCCGCGCGGAACTAAGGGTCTAAACACAGGAAGCGATGGAGACGTTACGGAGGTCGGAACTATTGCGCGTTGCCTCCGTAGCGGTAGGCGTCAAACCTGTAACGACAACACTACCAAGAAAGAAGGCAAGAAGCCGGACGGAGGCGATGTTCCAGCGCAGATGTACACGACCAAGCTGGAGACAGAGGCGGAGCTTCCAGAGCCTCACGACCTTGTCTATCGCTTACGCACAGCAAAACACCCTGAAAAGATGAAGCTCTTGACGCTGTTCAACGCGGATGGCGTTGGCTGTGTCGTGGAGGCGTCGGATATCATCACCATCGCTGACGGACAATGTGTCACCGACGCCATCGTAGACTTCCACAATGTGTGGGTGGACCCCGGGTGATTGGATCACCAAGTCTTGGCCTGCCTATGCTCCGGTTTTGGCGTGACATCGCACATTTCCTGACTGGTCAATGGTTGGACTGCACGCAGGTTGCTGAGCATTCGTCACCCCACTACGCCCAACGGCAGTACATGGGCCGTGGTCAACAGCAAGGCTTTCGACTATTGCAACATGTTCAAGAAGCCATACTCTATGGGCAAATCGGACAGAATTTTTGATGTGGACTATTTGGCTATTCCCATCTTCAAAAGGTTAGTAACGGTGATGTGTGGCACCGGCTTTGTGACCACTCCCAGTGTACCCCTGCTTTTTACCGCCGCACTATCCCATTTTCCACGCCATGTGGCAGTTCACACTACTCGCTGATGATCGTGCCGTCCCCAAAGAGACTGCTGCGTGCCACGTCGGAGGATGACACGGCGCCTCTGGAGCTGATTCTTCTCGACAGTTATGGCACGCATCGTGATGACCCGTCTGTGTTTGATGGCGTCAAACTGTAAGATGCTGAATGCTCATGGTGATGCGTTAGTGGTATTGGCGTTTCCCATGGTGAGGTTTGACTCTCACCCTGTGTTGTTGATGCCCCAGGTTCCTGGAACTCACCGCCAAGGACCTACACCCTGAGTGTGACGCGACCACTCTTGTGACCGCGCTGAGGGACGCTAAACCAGTTCCCATGAAGGTGGGTCCTAGATCACTGCCTGACTTGTGCTGTAGGCGGGCATACATACTACGTCCTTGTGTGCTAAATGCCTCTGGTGGTATTTTACGTGCTTGCAGAAGCATAAGGTGCAGCAGCAGGACAACCAGCATGACTGTGGCATTTTGTATGCCACTTCCTGAAGGTCCTTGTGGATACTGATTTCAAGACACTGCGCTCGTATCTGTACTTGGAGGGCGTCAGTGCGCTAGAGATGCGGCGGGCCATGCGGGGAGACCTATGCATGCATGCGACTGATGACCTTGTACCGGCGCTTGTGAAACTGGGGGTGGTCGTCCCGAAGCAACCCGCGCCCAGGGTTGCTAAGCATGGAGCCGTTGTCGATTCAGGAGGGGAGGACGGCAACACAAAGCTGACACGGATGCAGGTGGAGCACTACGGCATGAAGAGGGACCTGGTGATCTGGAAAGCAGCCGTCACGGCCGTCGGAGCTGCTATGGGCTACAGTGTCGACCAGCTCCTTGCTGGAGCTGCCCACGTCTTGCAGGCGCAAGATTCTGAAGGGGAAGCGGCGACACCTGGCTGCAGCCGATCCACCGCACCCTCCACCCCCAACCCCCGTGCAGGTGCGCGGCCAAGCGTTACAGACAGCCCCAGTTCCAAAGGCGATCCGCATGCGAGTGTTGCCCAGTGCGGTGCCGGATTAGCCAAAGTCGAGCTTGGGGTGGTTCATCCGAGTCCCTGCGTGCTGCCCGTGCTGGCCACGCCTATCTGGTCACTGAAAGGCACACCGGGAAGTGTGCCCATCACGCACCAGGCAAAGCCTTCGGTCGTTCATGCAGGTGGGACAAGGCCAGTGGTGTTGGCTATGCCGGCAAAGAGGAAACGCGACGCCACGCCTCCGTCGGGGAGCGATGTTGAGGGTGACGTGCAGAGCGCGGATGTGGTTGACCTGCTGCCTGGCCCCATCTGGCACATCATCTTCCGCCACCTACTGGCACATCATTCTCCGGAAAAGCAGGGTGATTCCTCGGGTGCATCGCAGCAGGAAGCACGCAGCACCTCGAACGCCACAGCCCTTCCATTTCCTGCCATCACGGACCAGCATGCGAAGGCATTGAGGCGCTTCGGCCCCTCCTGGCCTCTGCTGCGCTACGCCGTGGCCAGCAAGAGGCTCCTCCTCCATGCCATCTCCTTCTCCGTGAGTCATCTCATCATGATGCGCTTCTTCCCTTCCCTCATTCCACCGTACAACTTTCTTTTATACAACTCATCTCAGAAAATGGTAAATTCTGCTCTCTGAGTCCTTCGCTGTGTCCTTCGCTGAGTCCTCCGGCTGCGTCCATCGCTGTGTCCATCACTGTGTGTGAGCAGGAGCTCGACTCCATGACCCTCCTATTCAATGCTCAAGACCCCTGGTGGTCAGGCATGCTCTATTTCTTCCTGCGTCGCGCAGCTCACACGTCCCTTGATCTCACTCTCAACAGCTCCCAAGATCTAAACAGCATCGGCCGTCCCTTGCAACCCTCTGCACACTCCCTCACAAGCCTGGGCCTTGGAATCAAGGAACCTCCCGGGGGAATCGAGCCTATCATTAAGGAGAAGCACCTGATGAATCCCGCCTTTCTCCTGGAGTTTGAGCAGCTGCAGCGGCTGAAGCTGGGTCGTGGGACGTGGCAACTAGGCAACCTGGATTCAGCAAAATTCACGGCTTTAAGGAGTCTGAGCATCCACGATTTTGAGTGCGACGGAAATTCTCTGACCTTTCTTTCATCCATCGCACCGCAGCTGCATGAACTCGCTCTCGCCTCCTCCAGCCATGGCTCTGGCTCTACCACCCTCGATTTCGAGCTCACTGCTGCTCGCACTATCGCAATCTGCTTCGAGAAACAAGCGGTCAACCTCTGCTTCCCCCTGCCTGCCTCTTTGAAATCCTTCTCGGCCACCGCGGCGTTTCTCAACGTGGATTGCACATGCGGCAGCCGCCTCTCTCTCGACTCGCTCTCTCTCATTGGCCACTCGCAGCTTCTCGTAACTTCGCTCCCATTGGCCTCCGCAAAATCCGTCTACGTGAACGGACCAACCATTCGAGAATATCGTTGGCGTGCGTTTCCCTGTTCCGATCTCGAATCTCAGCGTACCGTGACCCACCTTCTCAGCAGCATAGCGCCTACAGTGGAGTCGCTTATAGTGAGGTACGGCTGGCCGCTGGAGGGCGTGCGTGTGGAGTGGAGCCGCCTGCGTCGCCTCGCCGTTGGTATGAATCGTTATAGCACTGGGGGGGTTAGTTACAAAGCTAAACCCGAGGATCCGGAAGATTATAATTTCTGGAGGTGCTTTGGTGGGGAAGAAGAGAGCAGCAGCGGCAGCAGCAGGAGCGGCAGCAGCAGGATAGGCAGCAGCGGCCTGTTCATCAACGCTCCGAACCTGAAGTCTTTCTTTTATCATGCCAAAGACTACGAGTGTAAACCTGAACTTCTGGTTGCTCTGCGCCGGCAGTTCCCTTCTCTGGCATTGTTCAGCAGTGCTGCTGATAAAGGGTTCAGGCTGTAGGTTTTACAGTATAAGGTCTAGGGCAATGGTGTGACCATGGGGTGGTGTGACCATGGGGTGGTGAGACCATGGGGTGGTGTGACCATGGGGTGGTGTGACCATGGGACGGTGAGACCATGGGACGGTGTGCACCTGTGTGGTGCATGCACAGTGCCTATGGGTGCCATCATGGGGCACCGCACCGCCCTCCCTGCTGCTGATGGGGCTGCCTGCTGCTGATGGGGCTGCCTGCTGTTTGTTGTCTGCTGCTGCCAGGGCACGGGGCTGCTGCTCCACCAGTCGAGCACAGTGAAGCAGAGGTGGTGATCATGTTGGGTGGCTGAGCTAGTGCCAGTGCTGATGGGGCTGCCTGCTACCGTATTTGTTGTCTGCTGCTGCCAGGGCACAGGGCTGCTGCTCCACCAGCTGGGCACAGTAAAGCAGGGGAGTCACTGAGGGCTGGTAGTTACCGTATGTATTAATGTTTTGTTCTGATGTTTTGTTTGTATGCTTGTACTTGTGATTTGTATTTATGTTTTGTTTGTTTTTTTTCCCATTTGTTTGTTTTTTTCCCAGCACGAGACGTGTAGACGAGGGGAATAGGGGGGAGGGGGGTGGAGGGATGGGAGAGGGGGAGGTTGGTCGGGCATGATCACAAAAAGGATGGCAGAGAAGGCAATTACCGTATATGTTATGATAGTTGCGATCCCACACCCACTCACATTCCCATATAATAGTATGGTAATGGAGAGGTCGTGACACGAATGATGAATGCGTTCTAGAGGCTGTAACAGTAGTAGGTCCTACAGAGGCTTCCTTTGTACAGCGTCGTGCTACAGCAGTAAGGCTCATCTGTATCAACGAGTTTTGAGTCGACCCAGACCTTGTCCACACACACACCAATAAATGAATGTTAAAGGTAGTAAGAGCAGTATGTCCCCCAGAGGCTGCCTTTCGACTTCAACATATAAGCCTCATCTTTATCAACACTGTAACTTTCAACCAGCTCCCTATTCACACCGTGCATCTTCTCCCTCACATTCTTCGCCTGCCTCTCCCCAAAGCAGTTGCTCGACACGCCGCTCCTCCCCTTCCTCACATGCACCACAGGAGCCTCAGTTTCAGCCAACCCCTTCCCATGCTTCTCCCAGTAGAAAGAGCGACTTGCGATGCAGTACAGGGCGAGGGAGGGGCAGGATTCACGTAGGGCAACAAGAGTGTGCTGCTCGCAGGTGCGAGTGGGGAAGAAGATCGTTTTCAAGTTTGGAGCCTTGATAACAGGGAGCTTTCCTGCTTGCTCCTCTTCCTCTTCCTCCTCCTGCTCCTCCTGCTGCCACTGCTGCTGCGGACGTCGGCGCTGCTGCAACCGCCTCTGCCTCTGGTTGCGCTCCTGACACTCCTCCACTGTAACCTCCTCCTCACCATCATCCCGCCGCCTCTCAAAATCCAGATCTCTCTCAAACCGCTCCTCACTTTCCACGACAATCCCAAGGCTGCGCAGGCAGCTCCACTCCGCACCCACCTGCTCTACAGGCACCCCGTGCCTCACTATAAGCACCTCCACTGTCCGCGCTATAGCACCCAGCCATTCAACCCAGGAGAATTCAGAGGAGCTGCGGCGGTGCAAGCTTAGCCAGTCAGGGGGCGGAGCAGGGGTGTCCCAAGAGGAAGAATCTGTTCTTTGAGATGAGCAGGCATCATCGCGGGAGTGGCGGTCGATGGGAGGGCCGTTGAGGTAGGCCACTCGTGCAGATGCGAGGCGGAGGGAGGAGATGACGAGACGCTCCTGGCCATAGAGTGAGAGTTGGTCGAGATAGAGAGGAGCGGCGCTCTTGCAGGAGAGGACCAGCCGTTTGGCCACGGCAGAGAAGGCCTTGAGCGAGCGGGAGAGGGTGAGGAAGAGCGTGAGGCTGCCCTGTGCGAAGTAGAACCGGAGGACGCGAGCTGATGAGAGGTCAAAACAGAATCGGTTAATGCCGCTGCCACGAGGGCCGACGGACGGGTTATCCAAATCCCAGCCCTCATAAAGCGTGAATTCCGTGAGCTGTGGCGTGAGTGTGGCGAGATACTTGACATCCATGTGACTCCAGTCCACGTGCTTGAGAGTCAAACTGCGCAGCGCCTTGAGCTTCCCCGCCCACCCGTCCGAGAGAACCCACTTGCCGCGCCCCAGCTTCAGCCGCTGCACACGCGGACAGCCGTAGTAGTGCGACCAGTGCTCCTGTACTGTGTCGTCCCTATCGCCCTGCTCCACGACATCTTCATTGCCTAGCTCCCTGTCAAAGAGCTGGGAGTAGTCCGGACAGCCGCGCAGCTTGAGGGTGAGCGAGGTGAGGGAGGCGAAGGGCCACTCGTCCTGGGACACGATGGTGTCGAGCTGCATGATGTGCGTGAAGGTGAGGGCGAGGGACTTGAGGCCGCGGTGACGGAGGAAGAAGGCGACGCTCCTCTCCCACTGCGGGTGCAGATTGTTGTAGACCAGAGAGATGGGGTGCTGAGCCTGCAGAGAGGAGAGAAATGGGTGGGCATGGGATGCGAATGGAAGTGCTAAGAAGTTCAGATTGGAGAGCAACGCTCCTCTCCCACTGTGGGTGCAAGTGATTAAAATCAGATCTGAAGCGGGATCTAACAAAGGCGACGCACCGCTCCCGCTGCGGATGCAGGTTGCTGTAGATGAAGGAGATGGGGTGCTGGGCCTGCAGAGAGGGATGGGTGAGAATGGTGGAGAGAATATGAAAGGTAGATGGCTGGGAGATGTGGCGGTTACTGCAATGCCACGAGCACAAACACTCACATCAAGGGCTGTTGAAGAACACACCAAAAGCCAGAATTTGATGCGCCTAGAAAATCGTCTCAGTTCACGCAGTTTTTATTTGGGAGATATTTTCACAACTCTCGCAGCAAGGGCTGTTGGAAGCACACCAAAATCCAAGCGCAACGGAGAGCATCACTCACGGAGAAGGAGAGGACGAGGTTGCAGAGCCGTTTGCTGGCCAGGGCGCAGCACAGCAGCCTTGAAGGGCAAAGCGTGTGAGACGACATCAAAGGAAAACAAAACTCACGGAGAAGGAGAGGACGAGGTTGCGGAGCCTCTTGCTGACCATGGCGCAGCACAGCAGCACCCACCCACTGCCATAGGTTTTCACATTCTTCCGGTGCTGCCCGGCTGCTGAAAAGTCAGGGTCCACAAATTTCACGGGCAGGTTTCTGCCCGCTGGGGGTTGCATTGTGGCGGTGAGATACCAGGGCGTCTTGCGCCTGCCCCGCATGAGAGTGGTGTCGGGGTGCGAGGAGCCGGGCGGCAGCAGCAGGCAGCGGAACACCCGGTGCCAGAGAGACGCCGGTAGCATGTCCATGGGATCACGGGGGGTGGCGGCTGGTAGGAGGAGAGACGGGTGAAAAGGGTGAGGTGGAAAATGGGTAGGTGATGTGTTGGAAAGGGGATTGATGGAGGGAGTGAAGAGGGAATGTGAGACGCCGGTAGCAGGTCGATGGGATCACGGAGGGTGGTGGCTGGAAGGAGAGAGCGGCGAGATGGGTGAGGATTGGTGAAAAAAGGAATTGATAGGAATTGTGAAACGGGAAAAAGTTAGACGCTGGCAGCACGTCTATTAGATCAGGGGGCGATGGCTACTGGAAGGAGAGATGGGTGATACGGTTGAAATGGGTGTGATGGGTGATACGGTTGAAATGGGTGTGATGGGTGATACGGTTGAAATCAAGGATGAAAAATACGGAAATCGTATTAAACGGTTCGTTTAATACGATGGT